GGCCCCGTCGGAGCTCTCTCTCGACGTGGACAGCGACATCGAGGCGATGCTGCTGGGCTCACCGTGAGGGGGCGGGGAGGAAGAAATGTGTGAAAGGGAGTGAACGCGTGCTGTGTGATAAGAGTGATTTGTGTGATTATTGTGTTGTAATGTGTGCTGTGTTAATTTGTAGGTTTTATTTGTTGTGACTGATGATTTGTTGTGACTCATGATTTGTGGTGTGCATGAACTGTGTGATCCATTTTATTTTGTGTTTTATTGAGATTGCGTACATGGAGCACTTTTAAAGAAAAGGGGGAGTGGTGTTGTGATGTGAGAATGTGTGTGTGTTTGTTGTAAGACTACGAGTTGTGTTTGGCGCGCCATCCACGGCGCGGAGGCAGCGCCCCGTGCGGCGGCCGAGAGAACCCGGTCGGCACCGGCCGACCGGCGCGCGTCGCCATGCAGACGCCATGGCCCGGCTGCGCGCGGGGCACTGCGCCGCTTGCGCCGGGAGCCGAGAGCGTCACTCTGGTGTTGGCGGTTGAGGAGTACCGACGTGTGTTGTGTCTTGGGTGCCTTGTGCTTTGTGTTGCCGTGTTGGTTTTCAATAAAACCCTGTAGTGTGCCAGTTAATCCTGCTCTTTCTCTTAGCCTCCTTACCCATTACCGCGCATTATAACAGTATCAATCAATCACGCTCATTTAGTCATTTTTTTTTTCAGGTTCTTTATTAGTGTTAGCCATGGAAAAAGACTTTATGATGCTTCCTATCTGCTCAATGCCCGTTACTCTCATGACAAGCAAGGTGTTTTTTTGAGGGGTGACTGCAAACCTGAAATGATCAAAGCAGGGCAGTACAAAGTGGATGTACAGTTGCATGCTTTAGGTGGTGTTTGTGGAGCCCATTGTGAGTGTGGTGCTGGCAGTGGGGACAAAGCACACTGCAAACATGTTGTGTGCTTATTGTTTGCTCCAAGGATACATTGAAATGAGTCACCTTTCTTCAGATGTTCCACCATGTGCTTGTTGTAAAATTTTATGGAAGTTATTTTAGAGGCACATGTGCTTACTGGACATGACACATGTGAAGGCGAACAAACAGTATCATTTTTAATCTTCCTGGTGACTTTCGTGGTATGAATTCTTGAGACATGAACTCTGAAAGAGTTAAGTGAAGTCAAACGTACTAGGCAATTTGGCATTCCACATAGTATTGAGAAATTCTTCGTTGATGTATGGATTTTGGAGTGATCGATGAAAGTTCCCACATCAAGAAACATAGAATTGCAAAATTTACATTCAAGTTCAGGTCCTGGATTAGGCTCTATCCCAGCAATCAAAAGTAGTATGCACAGCACAGCAACAGGAACATGTTTCAGTAAAATACTTTTTCCACTTGGTCGCAAAGTAGACAACTTGGAGGAGCAGCTGCAGAAGTTGAATAAGCCAATGCGGCATCGAAAAACTTCAATGGACACCCCCATTATCTGCAAAGAAAAGTGAAATAAAAAGTTTAGAACATATCAGGAAAAGGAGAAATTGTGGAGACATGGTTCAAACCATACTGAGCAGTAAATTTCATCAATTCCATCAATGACGAACACAGGTCTTTATTTACTTACCAAATAAAGTAATGGTATCTCCAGGGGTTGTACATCAGGAAATTTTTGACAATTGGGCGTATGTCCACAATTTGGTCAAATTGAGTTTTTTAGGGCATATGGTTCCTTATTATGTGTTCCACATGCAGAACTAAACGGCACATCAACATCTACAATAGGTCCTGAGATATACTAATAGCTCAATATGGCATATGTCCATCTAATATGTGACAAAGAGGCGAATGTCCCAAATAATTTTGACAAAGAGGCGAATGTCCACAGAAATTTTGACAAAGGGGCGTATGTCCAAGAACATTTTGACAGAGAGGCGTATGTC